GCCATTTTCCGCCTAATAGGAACTGAATCATACTGTATGCAAGTTAATGTTCAAATTTAGCAGCTTCGCGCCTCAAAAGTTATGAAGATTACTACAGCAGATGGCCTTATATTGGTTTCACTGGGAACAGGTATGAATTGTTTCAACATCGCTCAGAAGTTAAAGTCAGCGGTCCCTCAAACTGCTGACTTCTGAATTTGACAACCTTGTGATGGCGGACCCCCCAACTAGTCTATCAGTGAAGTTTGGAGCAAAAAAGCTTCTGAAGCCCAAAATCCACTGAGAAACCGAGCCCAAAATCCACTGAAAAACCGAAATACGAATTTTTTGGGGACACTGCTTTTGAACGTCTAGTGAATCTCTTTCTTGTGAGGCCACAATCATCCTCAAAGTGCCCTGTCTGAATGTCACTTTCTGTTCACGCTAAGGTCCTGGGCATACCTCAAGCGATTTCAGTCGCTGGCCATTTAGATTCTTCATAATTCTTCTATCCATCTTTCATAGTCGTGATAAAATATGCCCGAAATCGTATTCTTACAGAAAAGTTCGATAAACGAATGTCTTTTTATTGTCGTTGAACATGGCGCTTGAATGACTAGCAAAGGAGTAGAAACGAATAGTAAGAATTTTTGCTTGCTGTAGTTCAAAAATTTTAGCTTCTGCTTTGGGACTATATATTTAACAAGTGCTAAGGGATCCCAGCAAATAGATGGTCGTCATAAATTAAATTTTTTTAGACAGATTTGTAGATGCCTTCTGCAGCATGTAAAAAAGAAGGCCATGCAACAAGGCTCAACAATGTTTTATGGGCCTGATGACTAGGTTGACAGTCATTTTTCTAAAATCACGGAAGAGCATAGTCTATTTATTTTCGATGTACCATGTGTTTAGCACGCAATAAAAATAAAATCGAAAATTTTCCTGTATTTTTGATTGACAAATTGCATGCTATTAGCGGAAACCTGAACGCGCTGTCAGAGAATGACTTATCAAAAAACAAAACATCGACTTTTACTGAACGACTTTTACTCGACGAAAACAAAAACATCTACATATGTTTTTACAGTCGAGCCAGTAAAAAATATTCTCGCATTACTATTTTACTCTATACTATCGAGTGACAATAGAACAATCAATGAGATTTATTCAAATATAGCAGGGCGGCGCTCCACTTAAATCCCATACAAAAAAAAACAACACAAAATTCAATAGAATAGTTGGCAATGTTCGCAACGCATTCACTTGCTACCACTATCGTCCACTATGAGCCGGCCCATCGCTACGTTTTTCTCGCTTCTTACCGTATTCTTGGCTATAGGGCTAGGGGTAAGTTACCATGAGCTAACAGTCTAATAATTGATGAAGATGTCAATTTGTTTTTAGTGGTATTATAACGAATTTCTGAGAAACAAGAAGGATGAGGAAGTTCGTAGGCCATACGATCCTATCAATATGCTTCTTCGAAATCATCTCCATCAGGTATCATTCATTGGTACTATTGAGACAACCAATTACTGGATCAGAAATTATGAAAAATTACAAAAATGTTGAAGAATGTTACGCAAGAAAATTAACTCAGACAATTTACCGGAGCTTCCGCAGGACAATTTAAATTTGCAGCGGTTCCGCAGGACTTTGTTTACTATTACAAAAGTGGAAGCGTTGAAAATGGAACTTCCGCAGGATTTTCGCGTCAGACTGGTTGGAAACGGCAACTTCCGCAGGACTTTTTACAAAGCTCTGCAGAAATTCCGAAAAATGTCAGCATCCCGTCAGTACTTCCGCAGGATTTTGAATGTGTTGCCTCTTATGTTGTCTCTCCAACAACAGGAGTGCTTTCTCGAACATGTTATGCGTAGTGTAAAGGATAATGAGTGAGTCTCGTAGTCAATAAGGTAAGGTTCAGTCTCGCGTGGGTGCTCTCTTTTGCTATTGTGGTTCACATTTTTCGGACCTTCCGCAGCACGTTTACGGATGACCAAGGTTAATTTTCCCATACGTTCTGCGGAAGTTCCGGTCAGTTGTCTGAGAAAATTTAGAGTGAATAACTGAGATTTTGAACTAACCTAGGAACATCCGGTTAGCACAAAATTTTTCTTGGTCAAAAGTGGAGAGAGGTTACAAAAGCAACATCATGCTAATTAGAACTGTTCAACTCTTTTGTATTCCTACAGGCTTTACTTTAGTTATTTTGGAGTTCCTTATTATTTGTTCTGCAAACACTGTTTTCTTTTTCCGAGCATAATTTCCTTTGTCGTGAACATATTGAACTGAAAAAATTCCTCATAAAAGGATTGAAGAAGATGACGATTCTACAAAACTTTGGTCTAATTATTTAGGATCAACTGCATAATTAACTATTATTTTTTGTGTTTCGACTGCTCCTTATAGGTGGACGAGTTATGCAGCGAAGAAACAAAGACCTGCTTCACAATCACGGACAGAGTAGAGAAC